GCTGCTTAATACAGATTTTCATAAGTCTTGTGATGACATCTACATTTTAAAATGTATATTAAGAAAAAAAACCCCTGCAAAATGCAATTTGTATTAAAATCTGTAAGTTTTATTCAAGAGGTGTTTTAGAGTAATTTACAGCTGACCTGCAAGACTAATATTAGAATGGATTTTTAAGTTGACCGTTACTCAGTTCAGAAATTCAAGTGTAATGGGTAAGTATGTGTGGTTTAAGTATAATCTTTTCATTCTTTACAGTACATCAAGTAAACACCACAAGTTACTAAGCAGTGCTTAAACTGTAGCTTAAGTGTGATCAAATGTGTTTTGATAGATGTTAAAATTCTTCTAAGTTAATATTTGAATGATCGTATAGCAATTGTTGTGGTAGGTTCTGTGGTAATTCAAGACCATATACACATACGAATCTACCGGTCACGCAGTCTGGAAAACAGGAGAAGTATGGGTTTTTTCTTTATGAAACACCAAATACTTGTCTGAGAGGCAAACTGAGGAATCACAGAGACAATAAGACGGCTGAGATAAGCATTTCTGAATTCCATGAATTTGCTTTCTGCCTCTTCAGTTATCATCCAAAACCTAAGCTTTCTTCAAAGAGAATGTGTAATATTAGAAGGGGTTGATACTGTCACAAGTTATTTTACTCTCCTCAGTAAACACCTGGCTGCATAAAAAGAGAAGGATGGTCTTACGCTGATGCTCATGCATCCCCTTGTGCATGACTACTTTTCTTTGCTCAGTCAAGGTGCAACAAGACTAAAAGACCCATGCTGCTTGCCTAGCTGGTGTTTGGCTAACATCACTTGCAGAACAAAATAAGAAAAGGAAGAGGGGCTGGGGAAGAGAGAGAGGAGAAAGCTTGGTCTTTTAAATGGAAATGTCAGACCCCTTAACCAGAGCACTAATAGTTGTCTCAGCTGTAGTAGTGCAGCTTTGAAGTAGTCAGATTTTTATTATAGATGTGAATATTTCTCTCCTCTTCTGAGTTTGGTTTGAGTAAATTGGTACCTGCTAAACCTGAGAGTAGGCTTTCAGGGGTGCCGCAATGCCTACCATAAGATACAATGTAATTCTAGTTTCACAGTTTTGTATTGCAATTGCCTGTCATCCTCAGGCAATCACGTTTCTCAAGTATGCCGAAAGAATACAGGTATTTCCTGGACTGATTCTTTCCTATTTGAAAATCAGCTTTTCTTTGATGCATATTAAACCCATCTCAAGTAATAGCTATTACAGATGTACTTTCTAAAGCTTCAGGAGTTAGTGGTCCTGCTGTAAACAGCCTAAAGGCATTAAGTATATTATAAATATACTTGTGATATAAAATTGAAACATTGGTAAGGCAGCACTGTAAAAGTGCCTTTTTTTTCTTTTTGGTTTGTAATTTGGTTTGTAATTTTTCATCTGTTTCATTCCTTTCTTCACCACACTTTGCAGTAAACAAAACAAAAATGGGTGAAGGACATAATAATTTATGAATTTTAGCTATCCTGGAGTTCCAGTTCTGTGCATGTCCAATGAAGTTAATGGGCATCGCATAGCTAAGTAGCAGACAGCAGTCTGGAAATTTAGAGCAAATGTGTCAAATGGCTTCAGAAAGTCTCCCTCATTAAAACAGGTACAAGGGTCGTGAATCAGCCTCTAGTCTTGCTGAGACTGTCATTGAAAGAAATGGACTGAAGGGCTTCATTGGCCCTTATATAGATGAATATGTGTATGCACATACACACACGTATACATATAATATATATTTTAATATATAATATAATAATTTAGAAATACAATGTAATAGTATATACATAATACACATTTTAAAACTAGTTCTGTCCAGTCCTTTGCTTCTACTTTTATAATGACCATAAGCCATTATAGGGCAGTGTTCAAGGGAAATGCTTACTCATCAAACAATAAGCAATTAGCAAGCAGGAAACATAAAGTAGAAAGAAATGATTAGTAGAAGTGAATATGGTGGCATAATAATTTTGCTGCTGTTAATGTGTTTAGGGATAGATCTTAAATTTTGAAATCATCTGACAACAGGTCTTGGTTTTGTGTATGAATGACACCAAGGCTTGATGAATTTAGCTAGGATTTCTAAACTAAACAAAACAACCTAGTCTTGTAAGGACATTATCAAATTATTTGTACGAGCTCATTATTGACAGAGCATTTTAATGTGAGCTGTTTCCTTCAGCAATGTGTAATAAATCAAACCCTGTTCTGTTTAAGGATTTGCATTTATTTAACTAACAAAGTCATCTGCAGTTATCTCATGTGAAGATTGTCTTCAGAAAACAAAGCCTTTCTTGGGTTGTCTCAGTGCTTGTTACATTCATGGTATTGCTCAAAATGCAAAAGCAAAGTTTTGTACTGGTCACAGTACTTGGGGATATTTTGTGTGATGAGAGAGTCTGTCCATGTGACTTCTCTACTGCTGCTTTTGCTTTGGTCTTGATGTACTGTCCATAGAACGCATGCTTCGCTTGTAGCCTCCCCTAGCCCAATGAAGTGACACATCTGTGTCCCACAGCTGCACAGAACACCTTCTTCCAACAAGTGGTGACTTCTAAGGAAATTGTTGCTTGGGCAGAGAGTATTTCTTAATGCTGTACCTATCTTATAAGTCTCTCTACTGATGATGTAGTTTCTCACCATTTCAACAAATGTTCAGTGTCCTCCAGATGATTAATTTTTTGCTGCAAGTTCCATTGAATTGTTACCTACAGAATACTTAAAGTGAAAATGCATGTATGTGTTGCAATACAGCCTATGGATTGCAGTTCAGTTCCCTTATTCTGAATGTGTATACCTTATAATGTCTGCATTGTGATAATGATTTAGCTAGTAAGGACCACTACTAATCTCCACCAATCCTTGCTGCTCTGCTGAGTTTTTAAGCTGCGATTCATATGACTGTGTACTTACTGCTAGCAGTATCTAAGCTAGATAATGTAATGCTGGCTCTACATCATATTGTCCCATGGTCTGGTCTTTCTGTACATCCTACAGTTTCTTTAGTGGCTGTAATGTGGCTTTGTTGTTGTTGTTGTTGTTTTGGTTTTTTTTTACTTTTACTTGAGGTCATAGAACAGCTCAGTTTGGTATAATTCAGTGCAGATTGAAGCATTTAAATGTCTGCAAATCAAAGCTAGCTTTTGTTCTAGATTTCAGGGTATGCAAACACATTTCTGGAAAAACAGTGAGTATGCTATAAGTATCCAGACTGTATTTCTGACTTAGAGGAGGAGCACTATAAACATTATGAAATGCTGTTGAACATTTGAAATTATCTCCCTTTTTGCACTTTCAGAAGGTAACACGGGGTCTGTCCCTCAGCTCATCAAATTTTGATCCTTGGCTGCTTTCTAGTTGTTGTGGACATATGCTGCATGATGTGTCATCTTGTTCAGCTTCTTTCGCTTTATATAAATATTTCTCATGAATAGCAATGGTGTGTGGGCACATACAAAACTAATGTTCAGTTGCGCTCCTTCAAATGCTTTTTCTCGTTAATATATTTTATTCAGTGGCTGGTCGTGTTGACTGTGATATCACTTGCTATTCAGATAAGATTAGTATTGTAAATAAGTATCCCTTAGATGGGAGACTGTGTCAGAACTCTGCTTGTAAGTTAAGTCTGCTTCAGAGGGATTCAAGTTTCGGAAGTAAATAGAACATACGGATGCAAAGGGTAACCTGTATTCAGGCAGGTAGTGGCAAAGAGGGCAAGGAAGCTTTGCTGAACACAGGTGCAGATCTATAAGATTGTCACTTGTTTACGCATAATTCTTTTTTTAATATGATTGCTCTTCAGTATATTATAGCTTAAATACTGCTTGACTGCTTTTCTCTCTTCTCTACCTCCTCTGCACTTCTCTGTATATTTGGTAAAGATGGTAGTTACTGGGGTTACTATCTGTGTGTGATAAATTGCATAATGATCTCCCTAGGGAAATGATGTACTCGTTTATTGTGCTTAGGGTATCACAATCAAAGAATGTTTTCATTTTTTCATAAAACTTTGTTAATGCTTGCTTTTACATTCAGCTCCACCCTGTTTGAAATTGCTGAATTCTGTTTTGTGTGGTGGTATTAGGGTACAATTACACATTTAGTGTTACAGAAACAAAATGAACTAAAACCCCAAAGAAATTCTGTGTCTGAAGCATTTTTTCTCCTTCTAATTTTTTGTGTTGCAGGTATGCCATCAAAAATAAAAAATAAATGTAATTTTCAGGATTAAAGTGCTTGTGAAGTACTCATTCTTACTCTCATTGCCAAATGCTGATAGTGTATTATGTTTACAGTCAGTATATTAAATTTAATGGAGGTTAGGCATTTATGTACTTTCAAAAATCTGCTAAATGAAAACATTTGTTTGCCAAAATACACATTTTGATGCCTTCATTTTATGTATCTCTGTTTAGAAATTTTAGCTATGTGCTCTGTTCTGCTCTGAAAAATGTGGTCAGCATGGTCACAGCTGAATGTTTACTAGGACTAGAAAGGTGTTTTTATTTTGCTGTTCTGTCTCGCTGGGGAGGCGTTCTTCAGGAGAGCTTGATGATGAATTGTGAGCTGCTGAGGCATGGCTCTGTGATGATCAGGTCACTGTTGGCCCTTAGAAGCCCAGGGTAAATTGGTGGTCCTGCAACTTGGGGCAGCAGTTGTGTTGCTTAAAAGGCTCAGTTTAGGCCATGCTGGATGCATTTCTGCAGCTGGTCTCCCAGTTGTGTGGGCGCATCTACAACATGTGAATGTATCACAGACAGAGGGTTAATCTTTAATTCTGTTAGTACTCTCGTGCCCACCTGATTTCCAGTGATTTGAATCACTAATGGAAGCCTTTAACTGTAGAACTTTGTGTCTGAATTGACTGATGGATTATTAGCTGTAAGTTCCCATTGGAGTTAGCATGATTTCTCAGGTGCTGCAACTTCCGCTACATGGTGGTGTAGTCATTTTGGGGATCTGTAATGTTGTGGTGTGGCAGGTCTCGCTAGAGGGATGCCAAATGAGGAGGAAGTAACTTGAAAGGAGATAATTAATGTTAATGAAGATACAAGACACTGGCAGACATTGACAGAATTGGGAATCACAACCCAGGCTCTGAGCCCCCTTCTTGCATCTCATCTCTCAGAGATCTCAGGTGTATCAGCTGTAATTATTGCTTATATAAATTAAAACCCAAACCAAAACAACAAAACCCACACAACTGTTGAGTAACACAATTTATTAGAACAGCATTTTATTTTAAAGACTCTTTGATATACTCTCATTGTCCTAAATCCCTATGCATGTATTATTATTTACTATTAATCACCATTATGTCTCAAAAATGGAAAATATTGGGTTTTTTTCTAGGGCAGAAATCTAACAACAGGAGAGCTTGGATTCTTCCCAAGTGATGCAGTAAAGCCCAGCCCATGTGTAAGTACAATTGTTTAATTCTGTTTGTCATCTTACAGAAAAACTGCCTAGTTCATACCATTGCTTTATTAATCTTACCTTACGAAAATCATATTGTTTCTAGTTCCTTTGTGGTTTTGTGGTATGTTCAATATTGCATAAAATATAGCATTATAATGCTCTCGGTTATCGGATGTAGATAGGACATGTCAAGAAAACATGTTTGAGAGGCAGATTTAACTTTTGGGAATATTAATAAATTGAACTGTCTAAAGAGTTTCCAGAGTATGGAACAAACACTTTTTATGTGAAAGTGCACTTTCTTCCTTCCACAGCATTAAGGTGAGAATGCTGTGGTTCTAATCTATTCCCCAGTCACTTTGGGTTAGAGAGAGGGATTACACCATAAGTAGTGAATTTAAAAATGCGTAAAACTAATATAAAATTTCAAATTCAGACTGCTCAATAAATTTTCTCCTTTCTGTAGGTTCTTACTTGCCTTTATTTCACACAAGGATGTTCTCAATCTAGAAAAGTTCAGGATAGCAATAAGAAAAATTATTTTATAATATGTACTCAAGAGTTTTGTATACAGATGTGATGATACATTAATATACTTTATGCTTGCTCCTTCATTCTCTGCCTTCTGTAACATTGTCCATCAGATTACTATATGTCCCTTTGTTGAGATTAATTGATATAAACCCGTAAAACCAGTGACGAATCATATCAAAGCTTTAAGACAGCTTTAACTTCTTTTAACTGGATTCACAACAGTTTGACTTAATAGAATTGCTTTAATTACAGCAATCAAGATATGCCGCTTAAGTAGTTTGTAAGTAGGTGGAATCAGATGTTAGTGTCTGCATTTTGATATGCTTTTAAGGCTTATATTGTGCCTAGTTTCTAAAACAAATACTCATGTGCTTCTAAAGAGTATAAATACATTAGTATACCTTGAGACATCTTTAGTACC